AGGCCATGAGGAGCGAACCGCTGGCCTGGGCCCCGGTCTCGGCCCAGGCGGCCTCGCTGCTGGAGGAGGCGGCAGATCTGCTGGTGCTGCACCGGGACTTCGCCGCCGCCGTGGAGAGGTGTGAGGCGGGCTGCGACAGCCTGGGCCCCGGGACCGGCCCCGGCCCCGAGAGGTGCGAGCGGACCGTGGACAGTGGCTCGGTCCTGCATCAGCGTCAGGCTGGCTTCTGACTGCAGGCCGCGTCTGTCCTGTTTGTGGCTTTAACTTTTCTAATAGAGGGCGTTTTGGGTTTAGTAAAATAGTCTTTTGGCGGGGTGTTAGAAGCCGCTTAGATTTGAATAACAGTATCTGTGTGAATGGCAGTAGTGTCGATGGTCCTTGCTGTGGTTTTGCTTAGCTTTTTTAAAAATTATCTACACTAATGGAGGATGGCGCTTGTTGCTCAAAAAGGAGTTAGTAACCGTTCAAAACCCGGCTTGGCTTTGGCTGCTATTTGATAATGGCCTGTCTATATTTACAAGTTCTGTGTGAAGGCATCTGTGCGTGTTTGAGGGAAGCAAGGTGTGCCTAGGAGCCTTTCCCGTGTCCTCCCGGAGATATAGACTGACTGCTTCTTCTCGGAGGGTTGAATTTACCTTTTTATCAGGGTGAGGAGAGGGAAAGGAGGGGAAGCAGCTACCAGAGAACTGTAGAGTGTCCAGCCTGGGCTGCAGCTCACTGGAAAGGATGCAAGGGGAAATGTAGTTGTACGAAGTGCTTATTTAGGCGTCTTTTTGTTACCAGTTCTGCGGACGTGAAATGCTCCCTTTGTGTTGTGGGGATTCAGGCGCTCGCTGAGATGAACCGGTGGAGAGAAGTTCTGTCTTGGGTCCTACAATATTACCATGTCCCCGAACATCTTCCTCCAAAAGTTCTGGAGCTGTGGTGAGTTTCTGTCCGTGACTGTCAGATATACACAGGGCTTGCATTTAATAGCAGGCTAGACTTGAATGCTGTGTGATGCTTCCATTTTGCGCCATGTAAGTGACGATGAAAGTAGAACCTGGGACAGGCCCGTTCTTGACCTGTGTGTGCTGGAGCATGCCTGCAGATTGCTTCACAGTGATAAAATACAAAAAGGGTGATGCTGAAAAAGGAGCATCAGTGGCCGTGCCTATTGTCCACCTCAGAAATCTGTGCTTCAAGCGTTGACCCTGATACATGCCTTCACGATAGCTAGTTGCAGGTAGTAACTGTCAGTGATCTCAACTTTTATAAAGAGTTACTGTTTTCTAATATTTTTTTCTTCTGTTTCAGTATCCTGTTATACAGCAAAGTGAGAGAGCCCCAGGTGATGCTGGAGGTTGGCAGTAGCTGGCTGAGAGACCAAACCAACAAGAGCCTCCCTGAGTACGGTTTGTTGTTGGAGCTCTATCTATCACATGTGTTGCTTCCACTTGGCCGGTTTGAGGGGGCAGAAGAGCTTGTACGTGGCTGTGATGTTTTTGACAGCAAGCAGCAGCTAGCATTTCTTGGGACCATTTGTGAAAGCCGGTGTCATTGGACTCAACAGGAAGAGATGCACTTGGCAGCTGAAGAGCAGCAAGGCGCAGCAACAGAAAGTGTTTTGGGTAGGCTTTCCTCTGTTGTTTGTGCTCATCTTATTTTTTATAATTTTATTTCAAGTTAATTCGTCCCTTACTAACAAAGGCTAGTAAGTATTAACTATGTGTTAAGAATATTGTCATGACAAACCAGCAATGAGGAAGTCCTGTTGTGTATTACAGAAGGAAATGAAAGATAGTGATCCATTTGCTGACAATTACAAAGCATATGTAGACTCTGATGATGTCGAGAGACAAGAATTATTTTCCAGGTTCAAAAGCACCTCAGAATAAATGTGGGGTTTTTTTTAAAAAAAAAGTACAAAATGGAAACTAAAACTACCTAGCAACCCTTTAAGGGTCCATTTGGTTGGCCCTGTGTACTCTGCTTCGTCTCCATTTACAGTGGAACACATAGCATTTAAAGTACTACTTCACCTTCAGAACTGTAAATCACTTGATGTTCTCTCCCAGGAGAGAAGCTGGCACTACTGTGGTATAAGATCTTATACTAAAGTAGATTCATTAGAAAAAGGTATAATGAATTGTATTACAAAATTGTCTCTCTGTTCCCTATTATAAAAAAAACCTCAACTGTCATGCAAATAACAGTCTTATTTTAGTATCTTAGTTTCTTATTATCTGTATCTATGTGATTACTTTTTTTTTACTTTGCTTTTCCCTAACAGCCTTTCTGTCCTTGTTAGGTGCTCTGTCTGAAAAGATCTTGACCATGTTGACATTGCTACGTAGAGCACTGAGGTCCATGTCTAGCCAGTTCTATTTACTTCCTTACAAAAAGATGCTCTTGGCTACTTTTCTGCTGTACCTGGTGGTGGTGAGATTAGACCCAGGTACAGTATTAAGAGTTTGAATTTTTAAAATTCCAGTATGGTTACAGAGAAGAAAATAGTTGCTTTTAATAGATTTGGTCTGTGTAAATGTCTTATCTTTGGGATACACAAAAACTGGGTGACTAGGAACTTACTGTTAGGCTTGTTTCTAATGCTTCCAGCTGCAATCTGTGCAGGAGCATGTAGCTCCACAAAAGCCTGAAAAGAGTTACTCCATCCTCAGCTCTTTCCAACAGTCAGGGTACAAACTATGAGAGGTAGGCTGAGCTGTCCTAGACTCAGCCTCTGCCTCAGTCAACTTGAGGTACTACAAGGTAAATGTCTCCTGGAAGAGTGATTGAATGACAGTCTGTCCTGTCAGGAAAGCGGAAAGTTGCCCAGGGCAGCAATGTAGTCATGCATTTGATTTGCTTATGCTGGACTTCCACTAGTGATGGATGCTGCTGTTGTTGAAGATAGGGCTGATCCCATGACATAGAGGTGGCAGCTGGGATGTGGAGGCGATGGGTGTTTCCCCCTCTGCTGGGTGATGGGTGCTCTCTATTCTACAAATACTCCATTGGAAAATACTGAAGGTGCCTCACTAGGGATGGGAGCAGTACCCTGAGCGAAGGCCCAGGTATTGAACCAACAGAAGGAAGTAAGACAACTAGGTTTTGATTAACTCTAGTTGGGATTAGTTCTTTCTTAATGTTTAGTTTATTTTAGTTTTACCTTTTATAATGAAAGCTCTTTTGCTTTTTATTTTGTTCTGCAGCTTCTCCCACATCACTGCCATTCATTTACAAACTGGTCCAGCTCTTCCGACAGGCTTGGGCAGCTGTGTTTTCTCCAATTCATAGGCGTCCAATTCAAGACTAAGCATCTTCCATCAGAATGAGTTTTTCTCTGCTGGTGTAAAACTGTCAGCTTGTCTTGAGGATGTTATCAGGCTCTTCAAGGACTGTGAAATGGGTGTCCTACTTGAGAGGACCACCCGTGAACTCCTGTGTTGTAATAACGTTTGTTTCTTCAGATTGGGGGGTGATATATGAATTTTGAAACCATGCCAAGTATTTCTGACATTTTGCTTGGCTCTCAGCACTGTTCTATCCAACACTAGGGTAAAGGCTCTCTTTCTGTAAACTACAACTGAATAAGAATTCTCCTTTTCAAACACTTTGCTTCAGATGTAGCTCTTGAGTGAGGGTTGTGTAGCCAGTTACAAACTGTGGAAGAAGGCTCCATCCTTGCAAATGCTGGACAGTTCTGGAGGCATTACTGTAAAAGGCAATGGACTACCAGTAATTAGGGCTATATTCTGTTTTGCCTGAAGACATCTGAAAAGCCCAGTTCCTGCAGCATGGATTTAGGACAAGCATGTGAAAGAAAAACACTGAAGAAATTGAAGCCTGTTGCATTTTGAAGGCCATGGATTCTCTTGTGACTGATGCCTCCTTATACAGGCACTCTTGATTTTAGTCATATTTAAGCCAGAAAGCCAAGGTGGTTGGCTGTAAAGACTACTGTACTGCACCTACTTTTCTTAAATGCAAATTACAGCACTTCATGCATGCCTAATGCACAGTAATTCTTAGGAGCAGGTAGTGGTGGTAAGGAAATAGATATATTTTTTTTTAAAACTATATTCTGTATTATTGTCTAGTTGAACAACTGAAGTTGTTGTGTTGTTTTACACTTTCCCTACCTCTTGCTTTGTTTATGTAGATGTCAAAAAGTCTCCTTATGTCTAGAATTGCCCTCCCTGCCCCCAGTATCTGAAATCCTGGGTTACATGGGAGCCATTTAGCAATCCTCTGTCATTGAGAACAAAAACTTAGTAGGTAGAAAAAGATACTTCTGTGATATCCCAAAACCTTTCCCAGATCTGTGGCAAGAAAATTACTATCTTTGTAGAAGATTTGTCACCAGACTGACCCCATTCCTGACCACTTGGATCAGAAATTGGAGCTTTGGAGTAGAACATTAATTTCTTATCTATCTGTCTATCTATCTATCTATCTATCTATCTATCTATCTATCTATCTATCTATCTATCCATCAGTCGTTGCTTGACAAAGGGTGAGTTCCAAAGGGGAGAGCACTTGCTCTCATACTGCTTTCACTGGAACAAACTTGTGTGCTGGAGAAGACAAGTTAAAGGGAAGGAGCATGTGTGGCAAACAAGTAGTCCGCCATCCCAACATCTGTGCCTAAAGGATTCAGACTGACTGACATCAGCCCAAACTACAAAATGTTGAACAAAGCAGCCTTTTTGGTGGGCAAATTCTATCTAGCAAACCCAACCTGTGAAAAGCAGCCAATATAGATCCTACTGTGGTGTCTTAACAACAGTATTCCCCTTCAGGTTGTTCCTTTGTCTCCAGCAGTAGCCATACACTGAGTTGGTGCCTGTTTTTTCCACACGGATGACAGCCTGTTGGTGCCTTCAAACTGTGTGCAGTCTGTTGCTTTGCTATCTGCCAGGATGCTTTGAAAACAGTCTGCATCTTCACTACTAAAAATAGTTCTGTGTCTGTTTCTTCTTGGATTATCCCAGTAGAACACTCCAATATTAGCGTTGGGTAGACGGGGGCAGGTCATTCATAAATGCGGTAATGACCTTGCCTTATTGTCTCAGAGGAAAAATCAAAACAATCCCATGCCCGTTCCCAAAGTCTTTGTCTCTGCTAGGACTTTACACCAGGATAAATAAGAGCTATTTCTTATATACTTTGCGCACATAGGGGAGAGCTGCTCTTGATATTGCTAGATGGTTCTTGTAATCCAACTATACGTGTATCTACAACTCTGCATCCAGCAGTTGATGGGAAACAGAATAAAGCATAAAAGCTCTGTCTGAGCTTTCAAGAAATGATTACTGGCCCCCTACTTTGCAAAGCCTCACTTTAAATGCTTTGTAAGCCAGCTAATGAAATAGCAAACTTCACTCTGAAGTCAGGTCAAATTCACACCAAATTGACTGCTTAGGTAACAACCATTTTTTGCTCCCATATTGTACTAACATTTTTAGTTAGATGGCAGAGCTGCATTTTGGGAGTTGGGACAGGGTCTGGGCAGGCCATACATTATGTTTAGAATGCTCTTAAATGTCAAAGTCATTCACTTACCAGGACTTTAACACTGAACTTGATCAAGTGTAGGTTGACAACCTTCACTTTTTTTGAGTACTACTGATTTTGCATTTGTATTGTACTTATTGTTTCATTACATACAGTACATACTATTGTATTCATGAGAGGGAAAGAAGGCAGAAAAAAGCTATCAGTTTTTTGCAATTAAAACTGCAATATTGAGTTTTCACAATAAAGTGACTACTGATTTACCTCTATTGAGTTGCTTATTTGTGCTGTGATTAAGTATATGGAAACTTGCATTTAACATATTGATACTCTAGTGTTTTCAAAAAATTTCTGGAAATGTTTCAGTACATGTCCTCATTGTACAGGCATATTTGAATTAAGTACAGAACTTGTTCAGTGTGAATCTGATGAGATCTAATCAGCTGTTGATGGCGGTAGGGTCTAAGTCTGCATTTTCATAGGAGTTCACAGTGGTAATTTCTCTGAATGATCCAGCATTTTTTTTTAAGTATGTTTCTCTGTGTACCTTGGGATGGCCAAGACAATGCTACTAAGAATAAAGTACCTGGTATTTATCTTTAGCTGTGTATATTTCTCTGCACTCTCGTTATATCATGGAAAGAAAGACATAGCCATGGGGATCCTACTATTTAAGCCCTGAGAGAGAATGTGTGTGTGTGCCCTGTGTATGTGAACTTTCTGCTAGTAACTCCAGATGCAAGAGTAAATTATAATTCTACTCTTTTGTTTTGACATCTTGCTAGAAGCAAAAAAAATTTATCAGCCTATATTGTAGGCAGCCGAAAGACTGAAGAGCAATTGTGTATAATCAGATGGAACAGAGGTCCAAAGATAAGGAATGTCTGGCAGAAAGACGAAGTTTGGTGCATTAGCACCAGGAGACAAGATGATAATCCGATGTACCTTGTCCACAGATGATCAAATAGTCAAGTGGAATTCCTTGCAGTTCAACCCCAACTCATTTCAGTCAGTGGAACTTAAGCAAGTTAACTCCATGTCCACCACTCATCTACAGTGGCCTTTGTCAAAAAGACGCTATTTAAACATGATGCCACCTTTGAAAGCATAGATGAAGAAATTCTGAAATGGTTAATAATCTGAAATTAGTTACCAGTAGCATATTCACGAGTTGTTAAGAGTTTTAAGGAAGGAAAACAGTTGTGTGAAGATGCTTTGTATGTGTTAAAAATTCTGGTTACTAATACCAGCTGTAGTTTTCTGCTTTTTTTTTTAAAAAAAAAAAACAAAAAAAACCAAAAAAACCCCAAAAAACCCCAAAAACAAACCACACAAAAAACCCAACAAACCACCTTAGGTTTAGCTTGGAGAAATAACTGGGAAGATTTGCTTAAAAACGTTTTAGGGCTGGGTCCTGTACATGGGTAGAAAGTAGGCTGTTGGTGTAACAGGTGAGTGGGTGGAATGGGATGGTTGCTTGGAGAGATTACGACCTCTCCAGCCTATGCTGTGACGCCATGGGGCCCCGGCCAGGAGGCGTGGGTGTCCACCCACCTTACACCACACAGCTTATACAACAGTAGAGCACACTATGCTTGTGCAGCGACTAACAATCATAACTGGATTGGTCTGGAGGTGCAAGTATGCTGACACTTCTGTTGTAACTGCTATATGAACATCTGTGACAGATTTAAGGGCCTTGAAATGACCACCTTGTGGTATGCAGGACAGAAGCACTAGCAGCTCCATCAGACCTACTAAGATCACAATAAATCAGAACCATGACAGGTATAGATGGAATGTCTAAGAACATCAGCTGTGAGTTCACAGCTTAAGTCTTCATAAGGTATATTTTTGTATATTCCCATTGGTTTAGGCATGTAGAACAATATATTGTTAAGGCATGCAGACAGGTGGCCAGCCATGGCCTGAAGTTGAACTGATAGGATAACAAGAGAAACTGTTGGATGTTGCAGATAATGGAACAGGACAAGTGGCTGGCCAATCCTAACCTGGGTCTAAAGTAAAGAGGTAAAGGCAGGAGAAGCTACTGGGAATTACATATAGTGAAGGGGGAATTTTGGAGACCCTCGCCTTGAGTGTAAGATATCAACAGAAAGTGAAGGAGGTATTGTCCTCATTACGAAATAAAGGTGTCAGATTAGCAGAGCAGGGCCAGTTGTGAAAAAGTGTTGTGTGTGTCTATTTAGGGGGGGAGGGGGGGGGAGGAAGCAAGAGAAAGATAATAAAAGGTAAAGAAAATCGTGTCCATTTGGGGGTACCTGTTGAGCAGTCCTGTGCTTGAACAATGCCTACAGCAAGACAATAAGCCTGTTGTGCTGACCTTGCCATATGTGTCTGACTTGCTTTTGAGCTCATGGTTACCTGGAAGATTTCTCTTCACACTGATGAAGTGTCTCCCAACACCCTGGAGACCAAATATATACCATTGTTACTTTAATGCTGGATATACTATTGATCTTTCATAAATTTCTTTTAAAGAAAAATCTGTTTTCACTGAAACATAATACTTAGAGCATACAACTCCAACAGGGCTACAAAAACACATTATGTTTTCCCAAACGTTAAGGAGCATTTTCCCCTTTCTGGTAAATTTGTTTGTATAAGGTTTGCTAATAGGTCATAAAGAAAAGCAGGCACAACCAGAAACATCGCTGATGTAGTTGGTCTTTTTGTATTTGAAATGAATGGCTGATCTTTATATTAGAAACTATAGTTCTGAAATTCCTGTATTAGGGGAGATAATTCTGCAAGTACAGTTCTAATTCTATAATTTTTAACATACATAAATTTTGTATATGACAATTCTTACCAAAAAGGAGGTAACTATTTTGAAACTGTATCCCAACATGTATTTATTTTTTATTTATTTAAAAGTAATTTTAAAAATACATAGAACAGTTATCTGTCTCAAGGATAACGCCTGAAAGCCAGTATTTTAGCAATATAGCAGTTTTATGTAGGTACTGAAATACTAGACTTTGGGATTTCAGAAATACCTGAAATGAGATGCTGTCAATTCTCCCAGTAGGTGGCAACAGAATGACAGATTGTGGTTCTACAGGGGACACAGGGAAGCAATTATCTTTGTTCACCTAACATAAAAAGGTATTATAATGTGTAGGAAACACAAAGACTTTCACACACACCAAAGAGGATTTTGTATGATCACCAAAGAACTTCTTAGGAGTGCACTGTTTTGTAAGATGGCACATCACTGTTCTAAAATAATCCACGATTCTGCCACTATTGGTGAGTCACTTAGATAACCAATCTGTAGGGAGTGATGTACATCTGGTAGAGGAGATAAAGAAGTTGACTGTCTTTCATTTGCCTGTTGACATATTTTGATCTCTAGTCAGAAAAGAACTGATTGATAGATCACAGGACTCAGTGGTTCTCTTGGCCTGAGATCTGGTGGACAGTACTTCTAAGATCTAGATTATTAAAAAATGCTATTTTCAGAGATGTGTCTATTTTTAAATAGAGAAAAAGGGGTTTAGGTTTTGTATGGCCATGTTATGGGGTTTTAAAAAATCCCTCTAAGAGGCTGATTTTAACAGTATTGTGAACAGTTGGAGATAATAACTCACAGCTCCTCTGCTCTGTTGCATTGCTCTGGAGGGCACTTATGGCACAGCACCCAGTCCATGTGCACACGAGAAGCCATCCAACATTGTCCAGAGCATCCCAGTTGCATGGAGGATACACATCATCCCAAGGAGCATGGGCTATTCACAAGCCCTCTGGCAGTACCAGCAAAGCCACTCTAGCACTCATGCCAAGTTCACTTATCACATCACTCCCTGCTCCCTGGAAGTTTTTGATGGGTGAGACTCCACTCAGTGTGGCAACTCAACATTGGTGAGTCTATGGATGCTGGGACGTTGAGTTTGAGTGGGGCAGAGAGAGGAATAAGTAACACTGACTCCCAGAGGTGCTCTTACTGCCTATTTCAGAAGAGAGGAGGGGGGCAATGGAAGAGCAGAGAATATGCAGCAATGGACTAAGTTGCCAATAATTTAGTAATTCACAGACGTCTTTTAGGTTTTGTAGTTGCTAGATCTGACATGTTGACTCAAATAGCACCTAGGAGGATTTGGGTGGTGGACTGTTAGAAGTATTTGCTATGAGACTTTTTCCTGAAGTTGATTGTCTGCACGGAGCTCCCCATCTGGTGGAGCCATGAGCATTAACATTTCAGATTGGAGCGGTGATGCTTGGCTGGAAAATTACCAGTTCCATTGGAAGAAGAACACTAGAACAACCTATTCCTTAGTCTCAAAGCAATGATCTGACAATTTTCTGGAGAAGTGTGGGACTTAGCTTAAACAAAGCAGCAGATAGAAATTACCATGTGAATTATTCCTCTGTAAAAAATATTTGTGGCTCCAGAAATCTCTGTAGCTTTTCCCAGCCAAAATCAGAGTAGTGATTTGCAGACTGGCAAAATGAACACCATACTGAAGTAAATGTGAATTTATAAAAACCAGTATGAACTACTTCACACTGTTAAAATGTAGGTGTTAGTTAGAGAAGATACTTGAATGCTGGTTGCCAACAGTGGCAGAATAATCTATTAAACTCATCATGTCGAAGCAGACTAACCTAAATTTTAGGAATTGTATAATTAAATTTCTACTGATTAAACATCATAATGAACAGTATGTTTATAAAGTCAGTATGTTTATAGTACTCAGATTCAAGCTACTAAGTCTGCTTTCCTCTTTGTTACCTAGGAGTTGCAAACACGAGGATTTCGCCACTGAGAGAAGCTGCTGCTTTCCAGTGCTCAGCTAGTGCAGAAGGAGCAAACAATAAAGTGATGGAGGCAAATACCCTAATTTAGTGTGAGAACATCTGTGTGATGCCTCCAGCTATGTCTTGCAATAAGCACTGCATTAAGAATCAAATTTCTTTCTGTGTTTGGACAGACAAGTTAGAGCCTGTACTGAATGCTGTTCCATACCGCTGACAGCCCAGATGACTGTACACAGAAAGAGAAGCAATAGAAGTAAATTGAAATATTAATAGAGAGGCTGCTGGAGTAAGGAGAGAAAGAAGTCAGGCCAGCATTAAAGAGCACTGGTAGAGCACACTTCAGAATGGTAATTACATTTTTCCAGTTTCCTGGGTTTGATTCTTCTCTTTCCTATTCATTTGCTCTCTTATGCGTTCTTGGTCTTCTGTATTGGAATTCAGGAGTGATTTTCATCCACACATGTACATACTGGCAGAAGAGGAAAC